TGAGGATTCTACAGCCCAAGTGCACCATTGGTTTGAAATCAGGGTTTTCAAACTCCCTTAGATGAACTGTCAATATCCACCAACCTGGTTAAAGCGCCGGACATTCAATTTTCGTCCTCTTAATTACGTAAACAACACCCCCACCAAGAGAAAGCAATAAATAGGACTTCCCTGGCAGAGGCTATATACGCGTGGCCACTTGAGAGCATTTCGAGAGGCAGGCCTGCCTCTCCCCACCCTCATCCGTACCAGAGCATTTGAGGACTAGAATTGGACAGTCACTCACCTATCCTTGGTTTACTGTAATTTTGAAAATCTTATAGGTTTCATAAATCAATCAATTTCATTGTTTATTTTCTGTTTAAAAAATCTCATCTTTTAATAAAGGAAACTTTGTGATCTTGTGATCTTGAATAGACCTTATTTTGTTTGTTTAGTCTCAAGTGTTTTCATAAGGTTTGAATGGCTTTGTGAATATGATTAAAGCTTGTTGAATATATAAGTTAGAAGGTTGAATAACATTGAACATAACTATATTATATACATATTATGCAGTAAACATGAGTCAATTTATATTGATGCATCTTTGTGAACTCAATTATGTAAATGTGTCTTGTTCTCTTTATAGTTTAGAGGCGAAAATTTATTTAATAATCAAATTCATGAGTCAATTGAAGCTGGACCACCATGGAAAATCTGGAAGCACTGGAAGAGCGTTTCATCCTATTAGCAATGAGCATCCACTTCCTCCCCTCCTGAGACATCCGAACGCAGGACCGATCAAACCAGTGCTTCCATGTTTCCCATGATGGTCTATCTTCAATTGAATCATGAATTCAATTAATAAAAATTTATCCGAAAATCTCGATTTTTCTACGAGTTTTTTGTGTTTATACGGATTCATTTGAATTCGGGTAAAACTAACATGATTATTAAGTACATCACTGTAGAGATTTTTTTAAGCATTCTAATTATTGTAATACAAGTATCATCTTAAATGTGACTTTAACGAATGTTGATCCTTATCAAACATGGCTCAAAGTTTCCCTCATAGTTTCTTTAGATAATCAAAAAAATTTTGGAAAACAAATGAAGAAACGAATGACAAGTTTCATAGAAACTATTTAATTGATAAAATCTCTATTAATTTGGATCCATTTGATAAATTAAAGTTTTCATAATATATGAGAACTTCAATCATCTACAATATCTATTATTGTTGTTATTGTTATTGTTGGCTTTATTCGATATTATATCTTTGGTATAATAGAGAATTCTCAGCTGAAAGTATCCCAACAAGTTTCCTCTTCTTATTTCTTGATCGATCCTGACGATAACATATTAGTTAGATGTTGACAGTTCAGTCAATCAACATCTGAATAATGATCATTCTTTTCAATGTATATCGTCAGCAAGTATAATGTCTATGATTTGACTATTTTGTAACTTGTACAGAGAGATATCGTAAAGTTTTTACAAACACATCCGAATAGTTTATACAGCCAATAGGCATAATGATGTGTTAAAACAAATAAAGAAACTTGCTGAAATATCTAAATGGAAGGAATAGGTAACCCAGATATTCAAGCAGGCCGTTGGTTACTTTACATGGAATCATTTCATTAACATAAAAAAATAATGGTTGATTATCGTCATTTACACTTTTGTTTAAATTGAAGTCTTGTTCATTTGCAGTCTAATATATATATCAAAAGGGTTTTTTTGAGATTGTAGTAATTTCGATAGTTGACATCATGAGTCAATTGAAGCTAGACGATCATGAAAAACCTGGAAGCACTGGACAGCCGTCTCATCTTATTGTGGGACTCCTCAGCAGTGCGCGTCCACGACCCCAATTCGCGGGATTGCAACCCAGAACCTATCAGTCTCGTGTGAGAACATTCAACCTCTTGACCATTGAGCTGGCCGCTATCCAACGGTGTTAATGTCTAAATTCAACTAATCCACGAAATTGAGCGACACATCCACCATTGTCATCAATGAGTTACTACCTCACAACTGACCCGGTTGAACTCCACTGGTTACTGCTTCTCACTAGAACTCCAGGAAATACCTTTTGAAACCAGTCACTAGTGAGCATATATATATCATTATTATAAGAAAATATTCTATAAACGGAAATATATGCATGCTAAGAAGTCTTTTTGAAAATGGTCTAGTTTCTCCTTTCTTATCTCTTTTTTTTAATTAGCAAAACAAAACAATTAAAGAGTAGAAGAATTGAGAATGAATGTAACACATTTATCTTAGATTCTTTCTTATCAAAATGGAATTTATTCCATCTCCTTTAAATAAGAAAAATGTATCTTTTTTCCAATTTATCATTGTGATTTCTGTTTTCCTCTTCCCCCTCCTCAACATCATCATCATCAACAACAACAAGAACACCAAAAACAACAAAAAAAAAACGAAAAAGAAAAACACCATCAACAATATAATTGTTATCAATTCATCATCATTATTATTATTATTCTATTAAAGGAATTGGTGTATCTGAAATTCCCTATTTACATTATTCACTTTTAGATAATGTTGATTATAAGAGAAAGTAGTATTCAGTCCTATTACAATTTGAATAAAGAAACATTTTACATTGTATCATAATAATGATAAAATAAAAAGAGTATTCGGTTAAAAGACAATTTAGTTGTCTATGGATATAGAAATGTTTCAGTTGTTTTGTACATAATGAATGTACCTCTTATTATGACTTACATGGATTTGTTTAAAATGAAGAACAATTTCGGGAATATATTGAATTCCACTTGGAAATTATACGACAGATGTTTTACTATAAAAGATCTAAAGTATAATGTAACTAAATAAATGTGTGAATGGTAATCATAAAAGAAGGGGGGAGGGGGGAGGGGAGACAGAAGTTACCATTGCCTTTATGTATATATATATAAATGTCCGCCTTTAAGATTTAACAGGTATAGCTGAATAATAATAATACAGTTATTAATAAGACTGTGTTTTCGGTAAATATTTGCTATTAGTTAAGATAAGCATAGTTGTCAAACATCGCACATTTACACATAGAATGTTCAATTGAATATATAAGAATGGATACTTCATTTAAAGATGATAGTTGGTTTGATGTGAAGCGAAGGGGTGTCAATTAATTTACCAGAATACTATAAACAGATGGTATTATGACATTCATTCATTCATTCTTTTCATCTGCAAATAAATGAAAAGTGATTTACTTTTATTAAATACTCATTCATTTACGAATAGGAAGTTTATGACATAATAAACAAAAAAGAAGCTAACCGATTATTAAACAAGACATGGTGTATAGTTGTTATAAAGTAATTCATCAATATAATTGTCAATATTGACAGGTTACTATTTTAAACAAATAAGTAAAAAACAAACAATTATGACTATAAATTCATTTGGTAGTGTTTGTTTGAATCTTCTCATTGATGTTTACGACTGTAATTGATCAGTGTCTTATTGGCATATATGTATACTGTGCAGATTGCTTCGATATTGCATTGAGTCACAAAGACGAATGATGGCTAGCAGTAGAATCCAGTACACGTGTTTCGTCCTGTTTGGGACTCGTCAACTGAATGCACCTACATCATAGAGTTGGTGTTCAATGTAGGACTTGGACCCAGTATCGTTCACACCAAACTCCATCGCGTTATCTACTTACCTACTGAGTCCTGATTGCCAATCATGACTATATTATAGGGCACAAATAAATCAGACAGTTCATACACTTACTGGATCATTCGAATAAAGAAGCTGTTCATACTGATATGTATTCTTAAACCTATATAGAATAGTTGACCGACAAACATAAATGGTTAGCTGTATAGTTTTATAATACATTCTCTAGTACATTTTGTTTCATTTTAGTGAATAACACTGATTTAAAATGGGAAATTTTCAAGAAACAATACTGTACCTATTCATTAATGATGATGTAAGATCCACCCCGATATCCTGTTTCATCACTCATGTTTCTAAGTTTTATCAGTAATTACGTTACGTAATTCCTATGGTGAACTAATCGTGTACAGTGAATGAAAACCTGTCTTCGAAGGTCAGTGATAGTTGAAAGACTTCTTAGCACTCACTACGTTGCATTGTTAACAGCATCGTATATATATATATATAAAGGTACAAACTATTACACTCTAGTTATAGCTTTGAATTATGAATCACATAATATCAGTTTATCTTGAGAAAGACCTTTAAAATGTTTGGAATAATAAAGTTTTCACATGTATCATATATTTTTAGTCTTATTAACCGGTGGATTGAAATAGCGAATATATTTTAATGATGACAAACAATTAGCTTATAATCTAGGTATATATCCTCTCCTTATTTGCCTCAAATTCACTGACATTAACACAGTTCTCAGTGATTAAAAACTAGTTACAATACAAACATTTTGATCGACTGTCAAATATAAAATTGGTTTCTGAAATGTAGTCTAGTACTAGTGATATGCTTGAATGCTATTACGAGTTCATATTACTTGGTAAACGGAACGAAGGTCAAAGATATAATAACACGATAGGTTATTCTAATCCTTTCACCCCGGCCCTGATAAGTAGTTCAAGAAGTCTTGCTGAGGCGTAGAGAATGTATTTTACAAGCACCCAGAAAATGCGAAATCACTAAGCACACAAATCAAGCTTATTTATACAATGATAAAACGCCCTTGGGAGAGGCACAAAATAACATACCATAAGAATCCGTCAACCAATGATAGTCAAGGATTTCCAAGTGGGAAATGTAAGCTGTAAGTCAACTAAGCATCTGTTGGCGCGAAAACATGAAATTCAAATTTTCAGAATAAAATGACAAAATTAGGACTTTTTCCAAGTGAGTTCTGAGGATCTAACATCCTCACCAATTATAGTAGTTCATTTATAAAATTCCCCATTTCCATTTATATATTATTACTATAGTTTAAACATTAATATCATACAATTCATGTTATATCTTTCTAGATCATTGTCAATACAAAACCTATCCAGATGAATTCCCATCTTCTTCACCATCTTCTGATAATGGATCAATAATGAATCGTGATCTTTCAAAATCTTCAACATTATTTACATTGAATCAACCATCTAATAATAATCATAGTAATAATCATACTCAATCATATTATAATACAACAATAATAAATCCAACTGAATCAAGTCTATATCATGATGAATCAATTTTAAATCATTGTCATGATGATAGTTTCAATAATAAACTCAACAGCTTACATAATAATGATAGTAATGACAATACTACTACTATTAATACTACTATTAATACTACTAATAATCGTCCAACAATTAATTCTATTATAACAAGTCCAATATTATCAAATTTTTCTAATTCATCATCATCATGTTTAAGTCTGACAAATTTACATGAAAAACGTAAACAACGTAGAATTCGTACAACATTTACTAGTTTACAATTGAAAGAACTTGAAAAAGCATTTCAAGAGACACATTATCCTGATATTTATACTAGAGAAGATTTAGCATTAAGAATTGATCTTACTGAAGCTAGAGTTCAGGTAAAAAATTTACTTCTTGAATATATATACATTGTTATTTAGTAGTTATTCATTAGTAAAGTGGAATAAACTATCATTTTTAACAGTAGCCACTGGACGGCCGTCTCATCCTAGTATGGGACTCCTCAGCAGTGCACATCCATGATCTCCTCTCTGATTATAATCATCATATGTTCACTAGTGACCGGCTTCGAAAAGTATTTTTTGAGTTATAGTGAGAAGCAGTGACCAGTGGATTTCAACTGGGTTAGTTATGAGATAGTAACTCACTGAAGAAAATGGTAGATGTGTCACTCATTTTCGTGGATTAGTTGAATTTATACATTAACACCGTTGGATGGCAGCCAGCTCAGTGGTTAAGAGGGTAAGTGCTCGCGCGCGAGACTGATAGGTCCTGGGTTGAAATTTTGCGAGGCGGGATCATAGATGCGCACTGCTGAGGATTCTCACAGTGAGACGAAACGGCTATCCAGTGCTTCTCGGTTTTCCTTGATGGTCTAACTTAGATTGAATCATGAATTCAATAGTTAGAATTACTACAATCACCACAAAGTCCCTTCTTGAAATGCATTTAATCGTATATTTATTATTGTGGAATTAGTGTTTTGTGAACTGTTGAATTTAGCTATTGTATGGAGCTACTGTATATCTGGCTTTGATTAGACGAATATTTAGAGATTAATGTTTATTATGAGAGCAAACAGAGGTAATGGGAAAATGCAGTGTTGACTGTTTCGGAAGTAAAACTATCACGATGAATAGCATCGCAGTGGTTTTTTTACTTTCACATATAACCACTAATTTTACAATAACAATGAATATCTTGTCCTCATAAAGTTGGCTATTACAACAAACTAACTGTCATCAAATAGTAATGTAGTGAACGAGAACACAAGTGGGGAACGGTGAGCCCTCAAATGCCTTGGTACGGCCGAGAGTGGGGAGAGTCCGCTCTCCCTCTCCAAACGCTCTTACATGGCCACGCGTATATAGCCTCTGCCAGGGAAGTTCTACTCACTGCTTTCTCGCACCACGGGTGTTGTTTACGAAATTGAGAGGGCGAAAAGCGAATGTCCGGCGCTTTAACCGGGATCATGGAAACAAAGAGTTCATCTAGGGGTGTTGGAAAACCCTGATTCCAAACCAATGGTGCACATGGGCTCCAGTATCCTGCGGGAACAAATGGAGTATGAACCAATCGTTGGCCACCGGCTAACATGGGAACGCATCTCCTCACGATGTTCCACTGCCTTGCGGATCAGACCTGTAAGTCGAAGGTTCCGGATGTGGCCCCCTAAGAAGACCACCTGTTTCGGTTTGGGCACCCGGGCAGTATCACAGCTCTCACACATATCAAATGAACTTTGTGTGGCGCATATGTATTTGGTGCCTTCTTGTACCAATATCTATGTGTTCAAATAATAAATAATAATAATACAAGTGAAGACAATCGAATGTATTTGAATACAAAATTACAAAACATTTTGGTAAAATGTGATAACCATACAGTAAATACTTCATTTGCGAAATGTTAATCAATCGTCTCACACTTTGTTGTTCCTTCATTTCCACACTCATCATTCACTATACTCGTTCTCTCTCTTTCTTCGATCTTCTTAACCTTCTGTTGCTAGGTATTTCACTTTCGATTGATGATACATTAGTAGCACACACCAATTATTATAGTTGAATCTTTACACTTCTCTTTATTGAAGAAAACATCTAAAAGATTGAAACATATAGTAAGTTAGAATAGCATGGAAATTTGTTCATTACTTATATTTGAGTTTATCATTTCGAATGAAAGATATCTGATCTATAGGATTCAATTTGATTTCAATTTAACCAGACCAACTTTGTTATATCTGACTAATTATTGCCCAACCTATTCGTCACATACTGAAATATACATTTCAATTATATAAACAGTCCACTTTTTCAAACCCTGATGAATGTTTCTTTATAGAAGGTATACTTTTTAACTATTTAATAAAAATGAATCGATGAAATTAGTGTTCCGACTTACATGGAAAGTTTGACAATAGAAATATTGTTGTTTACATTCTAAGCAAAGATGGACAGTGACTAGCAATGAAATACAGGATGCATGTTTCGTCCTAGTATCCATCTCTACATAGAATTCTTATGAATTAAGGCAATATCAAGGCGATATACACAAGATGCACATATGTCAATAAGAGATTGATCCGTTGCATTCCTAAATATCAATGAGATGATTCAAATAAACATTATCAAGTGAAGTGTTGTTTATAGTTATTTCATTATGGTTTAGTTGAGGAGTTCTTTCTTTATAATTCGATAGATACTTTTTTGATAAGGGTGTAATAAATCTGAATTTTTTGAGAATGAATTTATCAAAGTGAAATACTTGATTACTGAATACTTGTTTCTATTCTGAAATGACTTTATATTAATAATAAGGGAACTATTAAAACAAAATCATTCCAATTTCTTTCTTATTCTTCGTTGATTAGGCTGCAGTGCTTAAAATCTGACCGTGTACTTTATTTATATTATTATCTTGTAAAGCAGATTATTATACATGTGTAATTCTGTAATTTTGACGGATTCGACCCATTGTCATCCACTGATCAATCAATTGTGAGAACATCCCAGTCCTACAGGAGGTCAGTCGAAGCCTGGATAACTCAGTGATGATATCTCTGGCTGTGAAGCTGGGTGATACGGGATCGAACCCGTCAGAGAGCACCAAGCCTCGCAAGATTACAGGTGCACCTTGTTGACGAGTGCTAAATAGCATGAAACTTAGGTTCAGGGTTTCTTGTTAACTATATCCAACCACCGTCTTATCTCAACATATTGAACGCAATATCGAGTCTCCTAGACCAGTGGCCACATTTTAACATGGTCGATAGGATTCGATCTACACTAAGAAGGACCTGACATACATGGCATTGATCACCACCCAGTGATTAATCAATTGTGAGAACATATATAATCCATTCTGAAGTAAATTGTACCTTACTTACTTACTTACTCACACCTGTTACTCCTCGCAAAGGAGCGTAGGCCACTCAACAGCATTCGCCATCCAACCCTGTCCTGAACAATCCTTTCCAGCTCCTTCCACTTCTTATTCATCCTTTTCATATCTGCTTCCATTATCCGACTTAATGTGTTCTTAGGCCTTCCTCTCTTCCGCTTCCCTTCAGGATTCCGAGTTAGGGCTTGTCTCGTGATGCAGTTTGACGATTTGCGTAATGTATGTCCTATCCATTTCCATCGTCTTTTCCTAATTTATTCTTTAGCCGGAAGCTGATTTGTTCTCTCCCACAAAAGGCTGTTGCTGATGGTATCCGAGCAATGAATGTTGAGTATCTTGCGTAGACAGCTATTTATAAATACTTGTACCTTCTTGATTGTGGTTGTTGTAGTTCTCCAAGTTTCAGCTCCGTACAGTAGAACTGCCTTGACGTTCATATTGAAGATTCTCACTTTGATATTGGTTGAAAGTTGTTTTAAGTTCCATATGTTCTTCAGTTGTAGGAATGCGACCCTTTCTTTGCCAATCCTCGACTTTACGTCTGCATCTAAGCCTCCTTGTTCATCGATGCTGCTTACCAGGTATGTGAAGGATTCTACACCTTCCAGAGTTTTGCCATCAAGAGTGATTGGATTGTTGTTTTCCGCTTTGAATTTGAGGACTTTGATTTTCCCTTTGTGTATGCTGAGGCCTACTGATGCAGAGACTGCTGCCACACTGGCTGTCTTTATCTGCATTTGTTCATGTATATGTGATAGGAGGGCTAGGTCATCTGTGAAGTCCAAATCGTCTAATTGATTCTGAGCTGTCCATTGTATTCCATGTTTTCCCTCAGATGTCGAGGTCTTCATAATCCAGTCGACCACCAGAAGAAAGAGGAAGGGAGAGAGTAAACAGCCTTGTCTGACTCCGGTTCTGACTTGGAATGCATCTGTCAGCTGTCCTCCATGCACGACTTTGCATTGTAGTCCGCCGTATGAGTTTGGGATAATATTGACAATCTTCTCAGGAACTCAGTAGTGTCGAAGAAGTTTCCATAACGTTCTCCTGTCTACACTGTCAAATGCCTTTTCATAATCAATGAAGTTGATGTATAGTGTCGAGTTCCACTCAACTGATTGTTCGACGATGATCCGTAGTGTCGCATTTCGGTCTGTGCACGACCGATCCTTACGGAATCCAGCTTGTTGATCTTAAATTGTACCACTTTATTGATATATGTAGTAAATAAATAGAAAACACTTATTTGTGGTCTTTGAATTATTTATTTCCATTTTTTTCTCTTCCAAGGTTTGGTTTCAAAATCGACGTGCAAAATTTCGTAAAACTGAACGTGTTATTCAACCAGATACTACAACAATCACATCATCATCATCATCATCACCATCAACAACAACAACATCAATAAACATAAACAATATTGAACATAATCATCCATCCTTATCATCAACTATTCAATTAACATCAACTGATCATTCAATGTATAATACAAAATTACATTCAAACACTTCATTAGATCATCATGAAAAACTTCACAAAGTAATTGATCCTTATAATTCAATTAATAAACATGAAACAATCAATACTGATGATGTAATGATGAATAAAAATAAAGAAATGGATTATCTACATCCATCATCCACATCCCCATTATCATACAATTCACAAGATGAATTGAATTATACTAAAGAAATGTATGGAACATTTAAAAAATCGGAACAAATTCAATTCACAAATGAATTTTATCCATCATCATTGAAAGATTCTCTATTTTCAGTAATACAAAAATCCAATTCAATAATACCAAATCAATCATATAGAGATTGGTCAACTACTTATCCATTGAAAGATAATGATTCTATAAATAGTAATATCATTGATACTACTACTACTACTACTACTAATAATAATAATAATAATAGTAATATACATCCTTTATATAAACTTACACAAACATGTAGACAAGTAGATAGATTATTAGTTGGTGGAACATATGATACAACATCAAGTACATTACATAAGAAAATTTCAGATAAACAACAAAAGTTTATGAATAAAAAAAAATAAAAAAATAATCAATGACTTGTTACTATGAGAAAGTGAAAATCTTTTTTTAGTGGTGATGGTGATGCTGGAGGTGGCGGGGTGAAATTAATACAATTTCTTTAATTTATTAAAATTCATTCATGATTTACATTTTGTTCATATTCAACATACATAAGTTGGTCATTCTTTAATTATTCTAATTCATTTTCTTGTTATTTCAATAAAATGTTAATCACTATGATGGTTAAACAACTAACATATGAATGCTATTTACTAATAAATTCATTATACATTATGGTTTTTTATTTATTGACTATTCATTATTATATCATAAATATTAATTTTAATGATTGAGATCATGAGTCAATTGAAGCTAGACCATCATGGAAAACCTGGAAACACTAGATGGCCGTTTCGTCCCACTGTGAAAGTCCTCAGCAGTATGCATCCACGACCTCGGCCTCTGCAAGATTCGAACCCAGGACTTACTGGTTTCGCACACGAGCACCTAACCACTAGACCACTGAGCCAGCCGTCATCCAATGATGTTAATGTCTAACTTCAACTAATTCATGAAATTGAGTGACATATCTACCATTTTCTTCAGTGAGTTACTATCTTATAACTGACCCATTTGAAATCCACTGGTCACTACTTCTCACTAGAACTCCAATAAATAACTCTTGGAAACAGTCACTAGTGAGTTGATTAGTATCAGAAATCTCACAATAGGACGAAACGGCCGTCCAGCGCTTCCAGATTTTCTATGGTGATTTAGTGTCATTTGACTCATTATCTCAACTATTAAATTACTATAATATCCAAAAAAAACCATTCTGATCAATAAATATTAATTAGAGAATGGTGTAAGGAACGGGAACACAAATGGGGACAATCAGTTGTTCTTTGGTAAAATTTGTAAATCATATGTTAAATACTTCATTTAAAAATTATTTATCAGTTGCTTCAAGCTTCGTCACACCTTCATTATCACAATAATTAGTCACTGTTCCCGTTCTCTTCGATTCGATCTTTCTAATCTTCTGCTGTCAGGTATTCTACTTTTGTTCTGTTTTATATACTACTTATATCGACATAAGTAGTATAAATCACATGGTACTACAATAGAATATTAAAAATTAAAACTGAAAGTTTTATCGGTAAATTTCTTTACAAAACTTGGTACTTAAATGCTGATAAACATTCTAGGTGAAGAAAATTCTGGTCATTAGATTGAATCGAATCGATTAAACTACATAATACATTATAATTTTGTACTGTATGTTGTTGAGTGGCTGGAGTCATTTTGGTATAAACCATTTGTCTGAAAATCAAGATAGTTGCAATTTATCGGTAAGACATTTCTAAGATCTTGGGGAATTGATGTTCTTTGTAAGGTTGAAGCCCTTATCACTTTGTCTCAATAAAAGTCCTTACCATTGTATCAGACAAAATGTAATTCTTACGAGTTCATCGTGACCTTCATAATCTAGAAGTAAAATTCCCATACAAACTGCGGGAAATTATCTCCAGTCTTTATAACTGCTTTATATTATTCAATCAATCCTACGAAGGCACAACAACAATTAGGATGGAAGATAATTAGAGAGTAAGTCAAATGGAAAGTGAAAATCAACACATTTTACTAAATTTGTATTGGCATTTTCAGCAGTTGAGGATAAAGTGAGTATATCAGGTGTGCTGAGTAATGTATTTAACGCGAACCCAACATTTATTAGCCATAAAGCCTAGTGAATGCCTTTTCCATGAATCGTGTTTGTGTAACTCTGCAGTATGATTTTCATGTATGTATTTTTTTCATTTCTAAACGTTAACTAATATGGGTGCAATAAGGAGTGCTGGATTATTTCGTCAATGGTTATTTTAATTAATAATAATTACCTTTGATAGTTTTGTTATGATCATGGATCGATCAATTCTAGATCACTGTTGAGAACCCAGAAGTGCTGAAACGCCGCTTCATACTAGTTTTGAATTCTTCAGCAATGTGACTCGACGCGGGATTCGAACCCAGGACCACCGGTTTCCTGTGAACATAGTCTCTAGACTACTAATGCGACATCCAACAGTGTTAATATCTAGCTTCGAACAAAAGATAAACCCTAATGAAAATCCAAACAAATATTCATCTTCATATAATACATCGCGTGAATGGATGCTAGTTAATTCGATTATCTTCAACGAACCATACGTGTTGCAAATTATGTTAAGAAGAAATTAACAGATAATTTCCTACATTATGTCCAGATAATTAGTGAATTTAAAAAGAGAAACATGAATAACAAATTACCAGACTAGTATTCGACAAACTAAACTGATATCATCATTACTTCATTTTACTTGATGTTACTATGGAACAAACATTTTTTCTGGAGTCATGGAATTCATTCTGTTATCATTTAATTCATCGACATAAACTAAAAGGTATATCAAGGTATCATTTGAATCTCAACATTTAAAAAGTTATCAAAACTGATTTATCATGGTGTTGTGAAGCTGGGACTATAAAACCAACTTTCTAGAAAGTCCTTTAAACCGTATAATATAAAGTTCCTTTTGTAAACAGATCCTTTAACCGATTTCGTATTGAAATTGATGATGGTGTTCATTTGACTGTTTAATAAATGTTACTGTGCTAAGTGAATTTCTTATTCTACATACAAGGATAAGTCTTGATGTTTTACTGCATAGTAGACTTCAGTACATGTACATTAGTATCGATCTCATTTCGTAATGTTTTACATAAACATATAACTTCTAAACGTAAATTTTTGAACAATGAAATTAATCACTTAGATGTGATTATAGTCTTTGAACCTTCTTGTTAGGAACGAGTCATTTACTTGCATACGACGTCAAGAATCACTTGAAGAATCCTTTATGTGACAAATATTAATAGCATCAGTTCTCTTAAGATAACAGGTACACCTTGCTGACGAGTGCTAAGTAGCACGATACCTAATTCCTGGGTTTCCTGTTAACTACATCCAACCACTATCTTATCTCAACATATTGAACCCAATATCGAGTCACCTAGACTAGTGGTCATATTTGATCTACACTAAGAAGGACCTGACATACATGAAATTGATCACAATCCAGTGATCAATCAGAAATATCCAAATAAACACTCTATGTATGTAACTATTCAAACTATCATATAATCATAAACTTCCACTAAATGTTTATATTGAATTCATTTCAGTAATGTTTAGTAAAAGCAGCTATACTGGAAGGTTCTATATTGCGTTCTTTTTAAGAGACAAAAAGGATCTAGATGGTAGGTTAGGGTTAACACACATTTTCTCAAACAAGTTCTCATCTATTGTAATTTTCAAATACAATAAAATGATTTAAACACCGTATTGATTTTCAAAAGCATAAAGTATCATTCAACATCAAATAAGTACAAAGCTCATCATAAATATTGTATATGCCTATTAACCAGAAACATCGTATTTATCATCACTTACCAAAAGAACTTGTAATGTCGGTTGCCATGTCAAGCCCACATAGCTTATTCTGGCTTCCGAACAGGCCACTAATTTCAATGACTAATAAATTGAATTTACCCTGAAGTCACATTTGACGGATGATTCAAGTAAGTGACTAGTTATATTTCCTATTTCGACAGTTCATAGACTTTTCTTAATCATCATATCTTCAAACCTGTCTGTATGGATTGGTATGAAAGACAGGGTGTTAGTACTTTCGATAGCTGACTATTTTTCATATTATTTCACTATGTACATGATGTGTATCAGTATTTTTAAGTTTGGAAGAACTTGTGTCCTCCAGTTATTGTTGTTAAGACTCTAAATTACCAGTTTCTTTTGGCAAATGTGGATCCTGATCAGATTATCTCTACATTAGCTTATAGTCACAAGTTATAGAAATTCTGGAAAGAAAACTCAAGTAACATGAATTTACATATAATTTATGGGTCAAAAACAGAATGAAAATGACATCATGTATTCCATCGACCACTGATCCTCAATGTTACTGAGTCTTGCGTGTTCCTTCCGTTAAATATAAATTCTGTAATATTCTGTCCAACCAGTACACTATGTAGCCAAATTGTCTCCGCCTTTGTAAGCTATGGTACTGTTTCTAGGACAACCGAAATAAAACATTTAACGGATGTTGGTACATATCAACCCTTATTGATTTAGTGAAGAGGAATTTACGTTGTGATTCGTAACATAGTAGTGGTAATAAATTGTTAGCTTCTCATCCAAAATTCTGTCCACTATCTCCGTATTCCGGAATTCATCATAAAGTTTCATATTTCAGCAACTTTCTTATTTTTGTTGATACAAGTACATCTAATTACCATATATATATATATATATATATATATATATATATATATATATATATATATATATATATATATATATATATATATATATATAATTGTCTGGAAAACTGCGTTGAATAAACTCTGATAAACGAACCTTGTATATACGTAGAACAATCACAATCTTTTTTAAATTTCACAGTTAATTTGTAGCTACTTATTTATGTTTTAAGTAGTTACATGAAATTCGTTAATGTTTTAGAGGTCTGGAAAGATATTTTAACAAAAAATCCAAAAAAAACATCTCAGTTACATTTATAATTTAAACATGTAGTCTTATGAGTATTTATTTCGATAAACTGATTGTAGGTGAGATTAGAACTTTATGTCTTTTAAAAAACCATGTTAACGAACTAAGAGTTATTTCTCTCCTGTTTTCGGAACTATGAATAAACTACTTTAATAACGATAAATTTAAAGATTTTTATCACATTTAACTAAACGGATGAGGAGGAGAAGAAGAAGAAGAGGAAGAAGAAGAAAAAAGCACTACAGAGTGAGCTGAACATCAAAGATAATGTTTTGTAATGAAAAACATAGTTTTTCATTTTAATGTAAATGTTAAAAATTTATGTTCTTCATAACTATCTGATTACATCACTTGTATTACTATTATTATTAGTAGTAGTAGGTGTATTAA